CTACATAGAATCTAAGCTCAACGGCACCCAGTGGGGGGGGGGGGGGTGGGGGGGGGTGCATGAAGACTGGAGTGTCCAGGGGAGAGTGAAGATAGGCGGTATCGACATCAAAGTAGAAAACCTCAAGATCATTGTAGGCGCCGTGGGCAAGGAAAGTGCGTAGAGTAGTGGAAGTAGCAGCTGGGGCATAGGTTTCACAGAAGGAATCGCCTTCAATCTGTTGGTCGCCTCGGGCGACCATTTCATCATGTTTCCGAGTAAGGACATATTTAGAGTGAATAATGCGGTTCCCGGCAGAGACATGGGTGAATGGTGTAATGTCGGCTAGATTATTTTTAACATGAGCGTTATGTTCTTTGGTGAATACCGAAAGCCATTGGGGCCACTCAGGGGTTCTTTGAGCCTGTTTAATACTCTCGGGAAGGGTGTGATCCAGCGCAGCGGATGCCTCAAGAAGTGTGATGGGAGCAACGGTGGTGATTTGGAGAGAGCGGATAGCGGGCGGTATCGATGTGCTGGACTCGTCAGAGAAGTCCAAGTCAATGTCCGACGAAGTAGTGCGGATGTGCTGGTGGGGAGTGGGCTCAGGTGTGAATGCGGCCAGATTGGGCTCGTAGCCGAAGTCATTTCGCGGATCATCATCAAGCTCGAGAGATTGTGTGTCGGGTGAACGATAACGGTCAGAATGATGTAGAGCGAAGGTAGACAGCTGGCTGTTGTTCAAAACTGTGGGGAGAGACACATTTGAAAATGCATCCGCTAATTCACGTTCAGCTTGGCGGATGTACATACACCGATAAAATTCTTCATTCAATGAAGGGTAGGATGGCGAAGGTGCAGGTCGGTGATGTTCGGTACGTGTAGGCTGTTCGGCACCAGAGGCAAGTTTGGTACGGGGCATGGGGAGTGGGGTACTGGTGGACTGTTCGGTACGCAGGGGAAGTGCGGTACCAGGAGATAAAAGTGCGGTACGGAGAGAATCTTCGGTACTGAGTGAAGAAAATGCGGTACTAGATGAGGGAAGTTCGGGATGAAATGTAAGAAGTTCGGTACGTGGGGCACGTAGGGTAGTAAAAAGTGGGCATTATTTGTCGCGACGAGTGGGGATAGTAGCCTCGATTTTGGCCAGAGAGTTCCGTGCACGGGAAATTGACATATGAAGGGTGTCTTGCGCTGTGCGAGGGGTCGGATTGGTCATGGGATCCGATGGTGTGCCTCGATGAAGAGGGGTGTTACGAGGTTCCGCCTAAGGGTTGGGTGGCGGTCGTGGAGCAGGTTGGGGAAACGGGACCAGTTGTGTAAATTAGAAATCAGCAGTAGGGTTAGACGGGTGCGTGGGGGTGGATGGTTGTAATGGTCGGGGGTGTACCTACGGGAGGGGGGGCGACGCGGGATAAATGGTGCAGATTATGAGGTGCTGGATGAGAGGGTGTACCACTCTTCGGGGATAATTAAGCCGGTAAAATGGTCAGTCATGGTAGCACGCTTACCAGTAGCGTCCCATTTTGGGGTCTGGTCCGAGATGCACCGAGCTTTGCGAGAGTTAATAATGCGCTGTGTGGCAAAACTTTGAAGGAGCCAGGTGTCGGGGGTGCACTGAGGTACACGACCCAGAAGAACACCGTATCCAACCTGTTTGTCATACTTGTGCGCTTTCTTCAAGGGAGCACCCTCGAATTTGAATACCACAACACAGCCGTAACGGGCACGAGGAAAACGGGGGACAATCGTCTGGTGCCATTTGTCTGCCGGCGAGTTGAGAAGTTTGTTAGTCGCAAGATTTTGTTGCGTATAATGTCCGCAAAAGCTTTTGCTCTACTCCAGAGTAGGAGTGGTTGTTATGAGTCGATGAGGAGGGTGCGGGTAAGTTGGTTGAGAGTGTCATGAGATCTTTCAAGTTTGCCATTCAATTGCCGTGTGTAGGCGGGCGTGCGATCGAGAGCCATGTCGCGGGTGAGGAGCATAGCACGGGCCCCATCGCTTTGAAAAACGCTGTCCCCGTCGGCTATAAGTGGGTAAGACTTGGGCGGGCACTTAACGAAGGAGAGCCTTGACGGCATCGGGTATGTTCTTCTTATTTTTGTGTAAACTGTGTATGCCAAATTTGGTGCCGTCGCAGATCATGTTCCTGGTGTACCTATCGCCGTATCTATCAGGTGGCATGGGCCCCTGTATGTCTATATGAAAATATTCCGCCGGACCGTATGCACTGTCAGTCGTTTTGTGTGATACTGGTTTGCGTTTGAATGTGCCAATCATGCATGCTGTACAGTGGCTGCTTAGCAATACTGCATTCCAAATTGTCAATGCGCTTCAAGAGATCCAAGTACGATGCGGGGCCTGTTATAGAAGAACGAGGGCGACATACGAAGGATTCAGTGACAGGATCCGTGGCAGATGGGTCAGTCCGCTGACACTGCCACGTTTTGATCCATTCACATAGATGAAGTCGCTGGTACCTAGGAACTGGCGTGCCTGATCTTGAGCTGATTGGTCGAGTCCAGAGATAAACGCGTCTTGTATGAAAACGAAACAAAGCACATAACCTTGGCGAGCAGCAGTTCACTGAAGTCGAATACAGTGATTGGCCCAAGCACGCATCGATTCGTCGTCCTCACATGAAAATTCGGTAAGTATGCGATGTTGATAGATTGGGCAACAGTGGTAAATTTATGGAAAATTATGTTGCGAAGAATATGAAGCACTGTCCATGGGTCGGACATGAACTCCCCAGGATTAAGTGACTGACGGAGATCATTGGTAAGCGAGTTATAGAAGATCTCATGGGCACGGCCGTAAGAGCCATCTTCAACCGAAGTAGTACGAAATTATGTCGTACGGAAATGATAAAACTTGGGCGGGAAGGTACACAATTGGGGTCTCACCGGTGGGAAATTATCGATTGTCGTTCCTAGACAAATTTTGGAATAAGTAGTGCCTTCTGGCGAGCGGTAGATGCGGCGACTCGAAGATTTCTGAGCCAGAGGTCATGATTATCGTCGTTGATGGTGAGTTGAATCCGTCGGTGGGCTGTGGTGGTTGCAGTGGGGTCCTCCATTGTTGGAAATAATAAGAAATGAGAGTTGAATAAACAGAAATCAATGGTCCATAATCTAATAGACTGTACAAACTCTTATTCGGAAGAAGTGGTCTTTATTATCTTTTCTGTAGATAATATATGTGTATAATCATATTGTCTGAAATATGTTATGTATGTTTTTGTAAAAGTAAGTTTTTGTAAACTTGGTGAATATTAGAAAAACTATGTTTTGTGTTTCTAAACCATGTTTGGATGTACCTAAAAGTGCCCTAAAGCCTATTTCTTCGTGCTCAATACCTAATATTGTAAAAGCAACGTCTTTAGGCCTAAAAAAATTGGTTTTACAAAATAAAAATATTTTTTTATAGCTGTCCGGAAACTTTTGTTTTATTTTTTTTGTAACAACGAAAAAAGATAAATTGGAAAGCCATCGAAAAGATGAAGATTCAAAGCCGAAGGGCAGCACAATTATGGAATATACAACAGCTAATATTGCGTGATTCATTGGCTAGGGAAGTATTTAAATATATATATATATATATATATTTTTTGTGTTTATTTGATATCATACATGATAACTAATTAATCTTATTTGTCATTTGTTTTAAAAAAATAATATTTTTTATAGCTGTCCGGAAACTTTTGTTTTATTTTTTTGTAACAACGAAAAAAGATAAATTGGAAAGCCATCGAAAAGATGAAGATTCAAAGCCGAAGGGCAGCACAATTATGGAATATACAACAGCTAATATTGCGTGATTCATTGGCTAGGGAAGTATTTAAAAAAATATATATATATATATTTTTTGTGTTTATTTGATATCATACATAATAACTAATTAATCTTATTTGTCATTTGTTTAATTACTATTTTTTAAACCTATGAAATATAACGTTACGGGCGCAAGATCCAGACCGGCCGGGCTCTGGCCCTCTCTCTCTCTAAGAGAGAGTATGTATTTAGAGGCCTACTCTCTAGAGACTTAGAGAGAGCGACGGGGACACGGGCCACGGGCCACGGGCCACGGGCCATACGGCCCCATTTACAGTTTTCGAACCAGGGCCAAAGCCCAAAAGAGGACAGAGAGACAGTCACTGAGTCACAGTAGTAGTACATACTTAAAGAGTAGTAGTAAATAGAGAGAACATTATTTTTAATGTCCCTCAGGAGTCAGGGCTCGCCTCAGACCCCCACTTGGCCACTTCCCACAACCCACAGCCTCACAAGCCCACACTCCACAGGCCCAGGGCCACACACGCCAACCCATCAGCTACCCTCTCAGGCTCTCAACACAACAAGTCACAACAAATGAAAAATAAATACCAATAGGATCAGGTGTATGTAATATCAATCCTTATTAGGAAAAGTAATCTGCAAACAAATAAATAGAATCACGGCGAAAACGGAAAAACTGCCAAATACAGTAGAAACTAAATAAAATTTTAATGCCCTCTTTTCGACAGTTTCTGAATAATCATGTCCTGAATATCCCTAAAATCAAAAGGTGCCCAATTGTCCCCTTATAGTCGAATTGTAATCGTGACCAATCTATGAAAATAGGTTTGGAATAATAGGGCAACAAACTTGTACAGAAAAGTATAGGCCGCTTTTAATTAAAAAAATGGCATTTACAAAATTTTGTCCAGAATTCTGGTAGTTGTTCGGATGATGGAAATTTCCGTGTCGTGCGTGAGTGTGTCTGAATACAGTATATTTACACACATTAACAAGAAAATATAAAAGGCACTTAACTAGCTCAAAACTTAACAGTCCTTTCCTAAATCACGAAGTCCACGTATATTTATTAATCATGGGAGTTCTAGATTTTGTCAAGCCCGGAGTTCTTCTAGGTGATGATGTTACCAAGGTATTTCAATACGCCAAGAACAACAAATTTGCCATCCCCGCAGTAAACTGTACTTCATCGTCCACAGTAAACGCTGTGCTTGAGACCGCTGCCAAGGTCGGTTCCCCAGTTATCATTCAATTTTCAAACGGTGGTGCCGCTTACTACGCAGGGAAGTATGTCGATAACAAGGACCAGAAAGCTGCTATTCTAGGAGCTGTCGCTGGTGCCAAGCACGTGCACGCCATGGCCAAGGTATATGGTGTACCCGTCATGGTACACACTGATCACTGCGCTAAGAAGCTTCTTCCATGGGTCGAGGGTTGCATCGCTGCTGGTGAACAACACTTCAAAGAGACTGGTGAGCCGCTTTTCTCATCTCACATGTTGGATATGTCTGAGGAACCCCATGAGGAGAACGTAGGTAAGGCCGCCGAGCTTCTCACCCGATTAACTCCTATGGGCATGACCCTTGAGATGGAGATCGGTATTACTGGCGGTGAGGAGGACGGAGTTGATAACTCAAACGTCGATGCTTCTAAGCTATATACTACCCCTGAGGATATCGATCTTGTATACTCTACACTTTCTAAGATCTCTCCCAGATTTAACATCGCCGCTGCTTTTGGTAATGTGCATGGTGTTTACAAGCCCGGAAACGTTGTCCTAAAGCCTTCAATCCTAGGTGACTGCCAAGCCTACATTAAGAGAAAACACAACAAAGAGGAAAAGAACCCATGCTTTTTCGTGTTCCATGGTGGTTCCGGTTCTACAGCCGAGGATATCTCGGAGGCTCTTGAGCACGGTATCGTCAAGATGAACATCGATACCGATACCCAGTGGGGCTACTGGAGTGGACTCCTCAACTTCTATAAAGAGAACGAGGCCTACCTTCAGGGACAAATCGGAAACCCCAAGGGACCCGATGCTCCTAACAAGAAGTATGTTGCTATTTTCATCCACTTTAGGCTATTCATATATAGCAAAAATCAACTTAAAATGACGATTTTTACTGTTTTTCAGGGTGTTTGCTTGCAGCTAATTGATCTTGTTCTTCTCACAGGTATTATGATCCCCGTGTCTGGGTACGCGCCTCCGAGCAGGGTCTTATCGATCGACTGGAGCGGTCGTTTAAGGAGCTTAACGTATGTCGCCAGTCCGTATTGGAAATACCCTTTTTTCGAGGGGTGAATGCCCCGTATACAGCTTATTTTACTCTCTTATTGTATATATTTTCGTACATAGTTGACTCAATTATTATCGCATATCTTTTCCACATACAGTGCATGAACCGTAACTAAGCATCGGATAAAGAAGTGGATGCTCCAGGGCGACTATAGTGACCTCGTTCTGATAGCAGAATAATAAAATATGAATTCAATTGTAAAATATTCGATTACATGTAGCTTACTCGAGCGTTCGCTGTTTCTTGCTACCGGTTGATTCTGCTCGAAGTACTCATGTTTGTTTGCGTGAACATTATAGTATATTGAAATTTAATTTTGTGAGTTGATTTGTTTTGAAAACTATGCAGCCTAGAAACACATTTGGGGGATAATTATGTTGAACATATTCTACAAGGTGGCTAAGCGACAGTCAGAGTATGTATTTTACGAGCACCCATACCTGATTCATGACGCTGTTAACAACTACCTTGTCATCCGAAAAACGATTCGACGTTATCGTTGTTCCTATCAGAATATGCTAAATAATATTTGCACCTATGTAACAATATGTGGCACGGCATGCTAATGCTTTCTAGATACATTGATAGAACTCGCTTTCCGAACTGTCATTAGTACTCATATTAGGTTACAATGCGTAAAAATGCACCTTAATTTCTGTCCCTTA